AAATTTTAAGTTGATTTCGAAACGAAGTGAAATATAGGAAGGGCGAATCTTTAATTAGCAGGCATAATAAATAATTGCAAAATTCCACAAAACTGGCAAATTTGGTAGAAAAATCAACGTTAATAATAGTATATAGTGAAGAAAGCAAGGGGGGAAATGGGTCACTAACCGACATGTCGTTGCTGCTGCCATTAGTAATAACGCTATTTTGATCGCCATGGTGCGCATCAAGTTCGCACGTTGTTGCTGATGTGCGATAAGTAATCTCATTGACAGCGTTTGCTGATAAACCTTGTAAAGACAAAATAGCTTTATACGTAGATACAATTAGGAAATATGAAAAATAAAGGGTTAAATCCTAGGAGCTAAAATTGTTGAGCATTTACCATAACCAGATGCCTGGCTGTACGCTGGCACTGGTGGAGGAGGTGGATGAACAGGAGTTGATGGTTCATTGCCATTGACAAAATTATCTATTCCATTGGGACAAGTAGGTTGGGAATGTTGGGGATAAGGTTGAAGTGTAATTGGTGCCTTTGGAGGAGGGGGATGATTTGAAAGTAGAACTCTGTTGGACATGGGAGCCAAATAATTATCCGACGTAGTTGCTGGCGTAGAAGGAAAGGTCGGTGGAGGCGGGGGAGGAGGAAGAAGCTGATCGTTATTGTTGTTAATACATCCACTATCGTGATGTGTAATACTGTGTAAAGGTGTTTTATTGCTTATGGCCTGAGGAGTATTAGCATCAGATCTTCGATCTAGCTGCTGACGATAATTCGGAGAGCAAACAAGATGCACCAGCCCGTCACCTACTCCGTGTTGCTGGATAGTGATGACATGGTCATGTGAATTTCTGTTAGAGATTGCTTTCAATTTCGCCTTAGGTCGCTAAAAAGTGTAATTAGGAGAATAAAAGCAATGCAATGCAAGTTAGGGGTACTATTATGGCTGATAATAAAGTACCTTTTTCTTGGCTACTTTTTTGGACTTGGTTTCTTGTAACATTTCTTCGCTCCAAAGATCGAAGAAAAAACTGGGATCTGAATAAAGTTTCATGCTGATCTTTCCGTCATCACGAAGACAATCTA